TTGTTCTGTATGCACGCATCAATATCTGCTTATTAAAACGCGTGAAAAATAAGCCTACGTTAATTTTTAATGTATAAAAATTAATTTCGTTTTTTTTTGTGCCCAAATTTGTTTACAAAAACGTAATGCAATAATAGCATATTGACTACTATTGTATATTTTCGGAAAATATGTCAGCCGCTCCAAATCTCTTTCCTATTCTTCCTTCTTCCTTTATTCTTTCACAATTTTGCGTTTTAATCATATTTTTCATAATTTTATACACTCATATATATATAGTAAATTGTTTAGGCCTAGACTAGGCTATACCTCGGCTTGGCTATTACTATATTATTTAAATATACAATTTTGATAAATAAGATTATTTTAACATTGGAAATTTAAATGTAAATATAATGATGTTAACGAATAAATAACATTAATTAAAACGTGTACATAGTATCACTACTACAATTTTTTTAATTTTATAATCAATTTTATATAGCCGGGGTTAGTATTGACCTAGGCTACTATGGCTAACGACAGGTACGCTTTCTCCAATAAAGGCCTTTTCTATGAATGGATTGACCTGCTGTACGAAACACGAACTCCTGAAGACCGAACCCAGTACCGTTACGATTTTAATCGTGCAGGAAATATCCTCAAAATGTATCTTGGAAAGACGTCTTTCCAAGATAACGTATCTTGGAATTCCGTCTTTCCAAGATAATTTATCTTGGAAATCCATCTTTCCAAGATAGGTTATCTTGGAATTCCCGGTCTTTCCAAGATACGTTATCTTTGAATTCCGTCTTTCTAAGATACTTATCTTGGAATTCCGTCTTTCCAAGATCAATTATCTTGGAATTCCGTCTTTCCAAGATACGTTATCTTGGAATTCCGTCTTTCCAAAATACGTTATCTCGGAAAGACGTCTTTCCGAGATAAATTATCTGTCAGCCGCTCCAAATCTCTTTCCTATTCTTCCTTCTTCCTTTATTCTTTCACAATTTTGCGTTTTAATCATATTTTTCATAATTTTATACACTCATATATATAGTAAATTGTTTAGGCCTAGACTAGGCTATACCTCGGTTTGGCTATTACTATATTATTTAAATATACAATTTTGATAAATAAGATTATTTTAACATTGGAAATTTAAATGTAAATATAATGATGTTAACGAATAAATAACATTAATTAAAACGTGTACATAGTATCACTACTACAATAATTAACTACGTCTTAATAAGTGTTTATTCCATGTTTCCAAGATAATTATCTTTGAAACTCGGAAACTCGGAAGGTCACTTTAAGCTTCCGTACGAAAGAGAGATAGGCTAGGTCTATTATAGGCTTTTGTATTTGAGTATTATAGATTGTTTTAAGTGACGCCTAAACATGGATATTGGGATTAAATTTCTAGTGCAAGTAGGTAAGGTCAACCAGAATCATTGGACCATAAAAGAAGATGGTATTGATCTTTGTTTTAAGTTGAAACTTCGGGACATGAAAGGATTCAGATTGTCGAGTTTGATATGAGTGGATTTGAGTATTAAAAGTAAAGATCGGCAATATTAGATGGGAGATCCCCAGATTTAGCTTGAAACATAAATACCCCAACACAGAAATAATACTTTAATTCTAAGAATATCTTGTGCTGTTAATAGGCCTACGGCGCCAGTGGGAAGGAAATTTCCAAATAAAAATCATGTAGTGTGGTTGAAGCTATTAATAAAAGAGTATTAATCTATCTATATTCTTTTGGTGGAAGCCAATAATGGGGTAGCAGGTCAAAACCTGTTATTAGGACTGTTATTATTTTTATTATTATTAATAATACTATTAATGTTTTTTTCGCGTTCTTTACTTCTCCAACATAGATGTTTTTAGCCTCATTTTGTCTGTATTTTAACTTTTTTATTTATTGCCGTTTTGACTTTTTGCCGTTTTGGTCCATTGCCGTTCTGGTCAAAAACTATTTCCGTTTTGGTTTTTTGTCGTTTTGGACACTGGATGCCGTTTTGACTTATTGCCGTTTTGGTTTATTGCCGTTTTTGATAGTGGTTACTTTGTCTTTGCATGATGTACTATTTTATCAATAATTAAAAGGCCTTATAAATCATTCGATGTCTTCATGGGCGTCGATCAGTGGGGGAGAGGGGGACTCATCCCCCACTGTTCAAGGTAGGAGTGGGGGGGGGGGACATCATATCAATTCCCCCTCCCCACTTTTCATCAATCTTATTAAAACCCCACTTTTCAAAGCGAATGGAAAGAATAACAATTACGCATGACTGTCTTGAATTTTGTCTGTTCACTTTTCCAAGTGTGGTCCGTTTCCGGATCAAAACCGAGTAAAAACGCAATTTGTTTGTAGCCTACATTTCGTAACCATCTCAGTAACCACTACATCGATTTTTGGATGTACAGGAAAGGTTATCAGAGGCTAAATTTATTGTGAAAACAATGTAGGCCTACTGTACGTTGTTAAAATTGGAAGCGTGTAAACTTATTAGGCCAATATTTTTACAAACTCAAAAGTGCACAATTTTCCACTAATAAACGGTTTATTCCTTTTGTGTATTACTATGACCCGTACTAGTGTTTAATTGTCTGCATAGGCCTACATACGTTCCTGTTTTCCTAATTTCAAAAAAAATTAGAGTTAGTCAATTGAATTTTATATAGCCGTTATCAACAATAATTACAGCCTTTTACACGGACAGGTCTATCTATTTCTATTTATTTAATTAGGCCTAGTGATACCATTTAAGTGGGCCGAGCCGACCCAAGCCTTCCTTAAATTTTTCAAAAAAAAAAAAAAAAAAAAAAAAAAAAAAAAGAAAAAAAACTCGGAAAATTATAATTAGAATTCTGAGAGTGCCATCTCCGGCCATCTAGGTTGCCATAATCATAAATTTTCTTACCTCAGCTCCAACCTTGGTTGGGCTCCATCCATCTGTAGTCCCTCCATGGGCCTGCTCAAATCAGGGAGATGATTTTTACATCTCCCTGCTCAAATCAATTAAACAACTTATAAAAGGCTATAGGCGCCAGAGTTTCCGGGGGCTCTAAACATCTGACAGCACAAGTCCAAGACACAGGAGGAACTCAAGCAGGTGATCAACTTTCAAGAAACAATTTACAGTTAAACTTGCCTAAAGTCTGTCTCTTATACACATCTAGATGTGTATAAGAGACAGCCCTTGCGACTAGTCTTTAACATTTTTGCAATTAATCCTTTTTTTTTTTTTACAAAAAAAAAAGGTATAATAAATATAACTGATGATGACGAGGTGTTGGTCCCAATTGCCTTGTTATAATATTTGAATATTTTGACGCACGTTTTGTAGGCAATTTGCCATTGATTACAATTCAACACCATAACTAAACACAAAGACTCATTTCAAATGACGTCAGAAAACCGCTATAGGAGAGGAGATACGCATACTCGCGCCTGCTTCATCTCTCATCGTTCTAGCTATTCCTATCGATCAGAAAATAAATGATATTTGCATACGGTACGACAGAATGGCTAGCTATGGCAAAATATTCGGTGCAAAGTAGACGATCGGCTTGATTGTCGCTTGCTTTTGCTGCACACAGCGCTTGATGAACATATGTCGATTGAACTAGCGTTACACAGACCCAGCCTAGACTACTAGGTTGTCTACAGATTGTTATTTTTTTCTTTTTAAGAAACGATTACCAAGACATTTATGAATTTAGGCCTAGGCCTATATTCATCAAAATTAGGATTGTTTACAACAACTCCTCAAGAATAACGGATACCCAAGAATAAGGTCAGTGATGATTAAACAGTAATCTGTTTAAACTGAAATAAAATTGATTTATGTGAGATGGTGTGCATCTTCAAAATAATATTCCTAGGCTTGGCACAGTCAGGCTTTGCCCTCCCTATGCATGCCTCATACTACTATAATACCCTAGGCCTAGGTTAGACGGGGTTAGTTAGACTTATGGACGAATTCATTACCAAGTCAATAGGCCTAGGCTAGCTTCAGACTAAACATGCTAGGCATTAGGACTGGAAGGACTACGTCTAGCCTAGTCAGAGCCTAGGCCTGGGCAAGGTATAATATCAAGAAGGTGGCAACAACAGTATATTAACAGGGGTCCCAAGTTCAAAGAAATACCTTCTGCGAGATCTGGTTAAATGAGCCATAACAAGGCCTTATTTTAAAGGCCCCAATTTTATTTTGCTGCGTTCGACATGGTGTCGGCGCTGACTTCCGTGAGACAATTATTAATAAATAAAGTTAGTAAAAACATGGGTGTCTATAAAGCGAAGACCGAAGACCCAAAAACGAAGACACCTATTTTTTCTCTTTTACTTTGATAATGTAATAGTACACCAGGCAGTCACGAAATCAAATTATGACATTTTTTGGGTGTCTGTTTGTGAAATTTTCAAGGGTCTTCATTTTATAGACACCCTATGTGTGCCTACAAAACAAAGACTGAAAACCCGAAAAACGAAGACCTCTAATTATTTCTCAGTTATCTTATTGAACAATGAAAGTATTTCAAAGTCATCATAAAACAGTTGCCGAGTACCTATTTCATTATTTCATCACGATTGAGAGAAAAAAATGTGGGTCTTCGTTTTACGGGTCTTCCTTTTGTAGACCATATAGGGTGTCTTTAAAATGAAGACCCTTTAATTATCTCATCCATCCTGTATGTTGGTGTCACTACCAAATGACCAATGCTGCACATATGCATCACTATACAGCATTCCTACTGTTTATTTTAACATGAAACAAGTTTATGAATAAAATTTTACAAGGTTTTTGTAGGCAAAATATGCGTACTGCTAGGCCAAGCCTTACTTTCGTGTAGAGAGTGGCAACACCAAGACGCGCTCTGCCACCAGCTGTGGACGTACAACAAATACTGGAACTGGAATAAAGAGTAAATCATTAAATTTACTCGGATTCAGGCAATAATGTGCTAAAAAGACGAATACTATATATATCGTTACATAGCATGAAGTGATTTAAAAACATTTTTTTTTATCATGATTGAGAGAAAAAATGTGGGTCTTCGTTTTTCTGGTCTTGGTCTTAAGACCCTTAAGTATTTCTTGATATTCCTCATTTTATTCCAAATAAATAATATAATAGGTACTTGGCAACTGTTTTATTTTCTTTCAGTAAGATATCAGTAATTGAGAAATAATTGGTGGTCTTCGTTTTTTGGGTCTGCGGTCTTCGTTATGTAGACACCCAAACGAAAACCCTTGAAAATTTCACAAACAGACGCCCAAAAAATTACGTAATTTTGATTTTGTGACTGCCTGGTGTATTACTAAAATAAAAGAGAAGAAATAGGGGCTTTGTTATCTGTTTTATAGACACCCGTAAAAACATGCAAATATTAGGAATTTGCAGGAGATGGGTTATTTTTTGGTGTTTGCTTGTGGGAGTGCGGGTAGCCGTCCCGACTTCCAGGAGACTTCTGGGAGATTGGACCCTTTATAATTAATATAATAATTATTCCACTTTACTTTTAGAAAGATTTGATTTGGACAGTTTTAATTAAAAATTATAATTTATACAATAATAATACTACTAAATTATTTATTATTATTATTATTATTATTATTATTATTATTATTATTATTTTATTATTATATGTCAGTATTGTGCTGTGGTTAGGGATTTTCTTAACATCTCCAAGCCTACTCACACTTAGGCAAGGGAGAGAGTCTCAATATTCATAACGTTAATTTTTCATAGGATTTTTCTAGTCATAAATTTAGTTTACTGTACAGGGGTAGATGCTGAGATGTCCGAAAGGGGTGGGCCAAAAGTGGGGGGGCCAATGAAGATAACACCACACTAGGGTGTCTGGGGGAATTCCCCGCAAAATTTTTGTTCTCTAGACGCATGAAAATAACCTCTGAGGGTGATCCATTTTTTCTTTTTCTTTTCTTTTTTTTTTCTTTTTTTTAACTTTTTAAAATAGGGATCCGGGCCGCGCGCCTCCTAAATCCTGACCTGCTGTACCCTATAAAATAGAGTCGGTAGTCATAATCACGAAAAACGTTTTGGTTTAAAAAAAAATAAGGACAACTATTCATAAGGTTCACTTGTCATAATCAAGAAAATGGTTTACTAATCTTAATATAACAAAGGACCGCTATTCATAAGGTTCGCTAGTCATAATAAATAAGGGGGTTCACTAGTCGTCATTGAAGGAAATGTTCGCTATTCATAATTGAACAGAAGGCTAGTCTTAATCAATAGAAAGGTTCATTAGCCATATAAATGACCGTTATTCATAAGATTCACTACTCATAATCAATAAGATAATAATAAAATATAGATTTCCTAGTTATAATTTTGAAACGTGTTTGCTAGAGTCATAAAATAAGGGGAAATGTTAGTCATAATCCTGCATTTTTTCCATTTCACCCCCAACCCATTCACTCTGTCTTAAATTTCCTCCCACAACCTTCATATTTGTCATTCCTTCCTAATCGTCTGTATTTTAGGAGAGATGAGGTGGGGGAATAATGGATGTAAGAGATGTCAAATAGGGAAATGTAGGATAGTATGGAGTGGAAGTGGTGTGTGCAGCAAACAAGCAGGGAGAGGGATGGTAGAATTAGGATGCAAATGGAGACAATGGGGAGTTTTCCATAATGGCAGACATATCCCTTTTCAACTGAGCTCCAGCGCATTAATTCCCTTTTGGTACCTCCTTTTAACTTCTTCCACTCCTGCTTTTAATTAATTAATGCTTTGCAATATATCATCATTATTGCTTCCCTTTCATACACACTTTCACTGCACTCTCATTTCACGTTTTCACTGGACCCTCCCTGCTTTTTCTTCTTTTTCCTCCCACACCTACCGTATGGATCACATTCTAAATTTCTCCCTCAGCCCTCTCACTAAGATTTTTGGAAAGAGTGGTGGAATTCCAGAAAATTTTTTGCTAAAAATTTAAAAAGGGTGTTGCAGACACTACAGTATGCGGCGTAACCCTGTCCCATACTTCATTTTACTTGATACCTTAAATTTAATTTAAATGCAAACAGTATGTACAATTAAATTATGAATAAATGAAACAATTAATCAAAAGTAATATACCTACATTGATGTGGATAGATTAGTAACACCCTGGGGAGGGCCTCCCAAGAAAAAAATGCCAAAAAAGTTCCATTTTGTTTCAATCTCCACTAGGGGTGTGTCTAGCCATGGAGCTGTAAAATTAAATGTTAGGCCTTTAAATTTGTAATCATGGTCTAGTAAATGTTGTGTTGTTTTATTATTATTATTATTATTATTATTATTATTATTATTATTATTAAATGTTTTTCTAACCAACACACTCTCGTGAGTAAGAGGGTTATAGAAGTTAAATATTTTACACAGTCCTTTATGATATTATGATAATATTTTTCTGAGTATATGTGTAGCACCCATTTAGGCAATCTTCTAATATAATTCTCCGAGGTTTCCTGGTATTTTGTCGATATTTTTTATTATTCCAAGTGCTCCCATAATACTGTTACTGGTTTGTGCTGTTTAAGTGCCACATTTTAGTGATTTCAATTTCCAGATCTTTGTATTTTCCGATCTTATCGTATTCTTTGGCGGAGATGTTGGTTTCACGGGGTACTGCCATGTCGATGATCATACATGTTCCTGCTTTTCGATCTTTGATTGTCAGGCTTACTTGCTTTGATGGTCCGATCGGTAGGCTTTATGGATTGTAAAATCCCAAAGGATTGTCACATCCTTGGCACTTCAAGACGTTGGTGATTGTACCATTTTTCGGCTACCTTGATCTTATAGTGTTTGCATACATTCCAATGTACAGTATGTACTGACCTAGCCGATCATGCCGTACAGTACCTAGTACTCTTTAAGCGCTAAGACCGGACAACAGGCAATAAGATGATTTACAGTTGTCTTATCTGATCTCTTGCAGATGCGGCAGAGAGGGTCAGTACCGTCTCTCATTATATTTTAGCTTTGTATGCATTCGTCGAAAGACTTTGGTCCTGTGCGGCTATAAAGACCTTCAGTTTCTGCTTTTTTGGTTGGATCATGGAGGTAGAGCCCAATCACACTTAATTAATAGGCAGGCCTAGGGTCGGCCCAGGGTCGCCTTAAATACGTTCAGACTTCTCCTTTGGGTCGGGTCGATGAATTGCAGGACAGGAAGTTTGAGGCGATAGCATTTCATGATGGTGAAACGGTAAATCCCAACCAAGCATAAACACATGGAATTCGCGCAAAACATGGACCTAATTTCAATTAATTATTGTCCTATACGTTTTCGATTTTTTAAGCGTAGCATTTTGCTTCATGAATGGTGAAGATAATTATTATAACAACCAAGACAAATATATAGCAGCTCGACTTTTCTCCGTGCAAAACCAGACTTAGGCGATTTTGAAAGTCCATACCTGTATAATATTACTGTAACTGTAGCATAGGCCTATGTAAAACTGAAGGTTGCTGTCACTGTTTGGCATCTATAGACACAGATTGTGAAAATAGTAGCATCGATCGCCTATTTGGCAATAATAAGTATTTTCATATTTGATTCATTCACAAACATTTTTGACACTTGCTTTTTAGAACCCACTTTGCTCATAACAATAACAAACGATTATTTTTTTTTCGGTCCTCTGGGTCACGTGAGTAGCTTCACGAATGTGAGGATGATGTTCACAGAAAGAATGATACTGCTATACAATGTTACGATTTTAGAATATAAACTTGTGAAATTAATGTGTGCTATACAAAAAAACGGGTTTTCT